GTGTTCGTGGAAGTCCATTCCATGGAGGGTGAAATGGAATTCCATGGAACATATCCGTGGAATTTTAATGGAATATTCGACATCCTTGTACTTCGATCAACATGCCATGGACTTCCGTGAACATTTTATGGACTTCCATGAAATATTTTATGCGCGTGCATGACATTTTGACGTTACCGAGATATATGTCATGAAACATTTCATCAAAGTTTTCCGTTCGATGTCACGGAATGTTTCATGAAAACATTTCGTGGACGTTCATGACAGGGGTTCATGAACACGGACTTGATGTGCCTCCGTTTTTTGTCATTAGTTTTGAGGACAGCCGATTGTGAGGTCATAAAAAAGCCCTGAAGAGAACGAGAGAGCGAAAAAAGTTCAAACTCCAGAACATTAGACTATGCCGGCGGTCCAGCGCAGGCAGCTGATCCAGCGCGCCGCGTAGCGCGACAATCTCGGGGCGTGCCGGCTACATTCTTCCCGTCCAAGCGCCTAACGAACGACAGGGAACGGTTTATTAATTGTCGACGCCGAATATCACGCTCACGAGAGAGCAGCACGCGTGAACCGCAACAACATCAAATTATTGCGGTGCACACACATGTAAATAAGCACGATGGCCACTAGACCACTGATCCGCGCTGACTTGTGGTCTAGATAGTGGTCATCGTGCTTCTTCAACAATATACCTCAATATATGCAACTAAGGTTAGGGACCGGTCCCTCGTAGGCGGACACAACGAGACCGAGGGCGGTGGGGGATTGGAAGGAAGTGAAGCATGTCTCGGGGAAATGCGTTTGCAGACAATGGTGGCTGCGAGAGCTATATATACCCGTATGCTGGTGTGTAGCCAACAAGCAGAGGTGTACACTTCGAGTGCCGTTGCAGCTCGGTTTGTCTCGGAACGAAGGGATGAGAAGAAATTGTCGTTGTCACTGGTTTACCCCAAGACTAGGTTTGCTGTTGGTGGTGATGATGAGGAATGAGCACAGGGGCGAGTGCGCATTTTGCTCAGCTCAAACAATACAACAATACAAAATTCCCCTGCGAGAGTCAGTGTCGTTATGCCGGGATTGTTCTTTTTTTAATAGAATTTTTTTCGCGAAAAGTGTGGCCCGTTAGGGGTACGCTTTTTGTTTTGTTTTGCAAAAAAAAACTGTTTAGAGGGATCGCGTGTGGAGTATGTGCGCACGAGAAAAAGAATAATTTTCATGCACAGGGGCGTGAAAATTTCGCCATGGCTGTCTGTCTGTCTGTCTGGTGTCTGCGCGCCCTAAATACACAGCAGACTCGAGCCCATTTCACCATCTCGGCACCAAATTGCAAACTAAAACTTGCGCACAACAAGTAATATTTTGCCCGAGCTGTCCCAACCGCTACCTTTGCAATCCGTGGTCGGTGTCTCGAGATAGCACACCGTTTGTGCAAATATATATGTCACATGGACGCATCCCCGGGAGGCGTTATTTTTGTTTTTTTTGGGCAACAATCTACACGCACGCAAGCAACCACGACGCACTGCCGTGCTGCACACACTGCTGCTGCTACTGGCAAGACACGCACTACACAGAGACAGGGAACATGGACAAGGGGGGCGGGACACACACACATACTGCTGTTAGCGACGGCGGAGGAAGCGGGGAACGTTTGGTTGGTCTGGGGTTCATCGATGATGATGTTGTTGTTGTTGTTTCCGTTGTTTGTTGTTGTTGTTCAACGCTGCCGGCCTTTTCGCCTTTTTTTCTCTGGAGAGAGAGGGATTCCCACCAACCAGCGTGTGTTGCACACACCACACAGCGAGAGCGGGACGGGAGCAGGGTGTGCCCTATACTACTGCTGCTGCTAGCTTTCGGCGGAGGAAGCGAGAGGAGAGATATTGATTGGGTCTCTGTGGGTCCATCGGTTGGTTGTTGTTATTGTGTTGCGACGCGGCGGGAGGGAGCGGCCTCTGACTCTGCTCTGGAGAGAGGCACACATACATCACAGCACGGGACCAGTAACACATCACGCTCGTTCCTAGACGATGTAGTACCACTGCTGTGCTGTGCACCTCTCTACACTCATTGTGGGCGAGAGGGTGTGTCGCCTCTGCTGCTGCTGCTGTTGCTGTTATCTAAAGCGGTGGCGGAAGCGTCCTGTTCAAGCAATCAGCAGCAGCAGCAGCAGCCGGGGAATTTTTGAACGTTTTTTTTTTTCTCTAGCTGATGACGATGGATAGCACCCCCCCCTCACGGCTGACGGTGGATATCACCCCCCTCGCTAGCTGATGATGGACACATCCCCCCCTCTAGCGAATGATGATGGATACCACCGCCCTCTTTAGCTGGTGATGATGGACCGCCCCCCGTTCTTCTGTACGACGAGAAAATCACACGAGCCAGCCAATCAACAGACGCACGAGCCTACTGCAGGTACTTTTGTGCAACCACCACAAAAAANCTCGCTAGCTGATGATGGACACATCCCCCCCTCTAGCGAATGATGATGGATACCACCGCCCTCTTTAGCTGGTGATGATGGACCGCCCCCCGTTCTTCTGTACGACGAGAAAATCACACGAGCCAGCCAATGAACAGAGAGCGAGACGGGAGCAGGGTGTGCCCTATGCATCGCAGCAGGGCGGCTCCCGTGAAGAAGTCGTCCATCGCTACGGTAACACCGGAGCCGATGATCTTGTCGGAGAAAGTCTCGCACGCCTCGAGTAGGACGTACATGACTGTGCGGGCCGACTTTCCAATGGGGCAACTCGCGTACGGCCTCAGCTTGATGTCGCCGCTGAACCCGCCGTCGATGCTTTGGACGAAGCAGTAGCCGGAAGGGCAGCAAGTAGCCCAGCACTTGAGTCCTGTGCGGGCCCGGACGAAAAGCAGAGGGACACAAGAAATGTTACCATTGCTCCCTCACTGTGTGTACTTCAAGTCCTGACTACCCAGGGACCTGCAAAATTTAATATTTATTATTTCGTGTTCGGCATCTTGTGCTGCTCTTCTTGTACTTCACCTCTTCTTCCAGAGACAACAACAAAGCACATTGTACCTGCCTCCAAGGTGCTCGACCAACTTTACACATGGCGGTCTTTGCACGGAGTGAGGGTATGTGACTCCGCACGTGTTCTACTCGACCACCCTCATGATCGACGAAAAAAGAAGGAAGCGACAAGAGATAAGGGTATCCCTGTTTGTCGGGGGTACGAAACGATCGCCGTGTTCCCCAGCGACGAAGACCCAACCCCAATGTATTGGGGGTGGGGGGGAGGGGTGGGGGTGAACCAGGTGTGCGGTACGACTTCATACGTGCACCGGTCTGGGAATGGATGATGCCACCGAGATCACACCCAAGAAATTAAGCTCCCCCCCATTCCCCCCCCCGTTGTAAAACAAGCCAATTCACTTCGTGAACTCGGCAACCAGGTTACCGTTT